AAAATGCAATGCACATAAATTCGATTTTGTGATCTACTTTATGTTTCCAAAAAGCATATTTTTCGAAAATGTCGTTCCGAGTGTGTATAAGTGTACATTATATTTTTAAAAATATTTCGAGGCTCTAAATAGGGGGATGAATAGAAATCGAATAAAGATAATTTATTTTTCAAATTAGGGGAGATTATTAAAATTTATTTAAATGCGTTAAGTTCATTATTTCGCTTTATTTTCAAGTTGATGTCTTAGTGTTATTATTTCTTTAAAAATATTTAGAAAAAACAAGAAATATCCGTTTTTGAGCTTGACACATTTATTTTTAAGAAAAAAAATATTAATAATTACTAATTACTGTATTGATAAAAAATAGAAAAATATTTGATAACTACCATTGGGGCATATTGGATCAGGTGCAGAATGTTTTACATTTCTTTACCAGCGATTACTGTAAAATCAATTAATATTTATTTCAAAAACCACATAATTTTAATATTAATACGTACCAAACATGTTATTTTATAAAAACAATAACCAAAGAATATCTTTAAGAATTTGCGTTTTTAAATTTATTATAATTCTCTATAAGTTTAAAATTTTTAAAAAGTATTCGAAGTGTCAATATTTAATATGATTAATTTTCAATATTTATTTTATAAATTTACTATTGAAACTTTAATTGATAATATATAATAAAGTTTGAACTTTTAAATAATAATTATACTCTTTGATACACTACGCCTCAGGTAGTGATCCAATACGCCCCGGGCCGGGGCATATTGGATCACCTTTCTTCACTCTGAAAAAATGAAGTTGAGAAAAAAATAGTTTCCTTTTTTTTTATTAACTATCCTGCACATAATAAGTTGCAAATAAAAACTTAAGACTCAAAAATTGTCATACAATTCTTCAGAAGTTCATATTTATAAAATATTTGTTAATAAATAATAACTAAAATTAGTGTAAAAATGGGAAAAAATAAGCTCAAATTATTAATTTTAAAAGCTGATAAATTTTTTTTAAAAATATTGGATTTTTATATAAATAAGTATATAAGGGTTTTTTGGATCGCTAATTACATACATGAATTTAGTATTACAAAATTCAAAATGTCGGATCCAATATGGCGGACGAATTTTGAAACAATGATTGAATTTTCCTGCAATTTGGTATCTAGAGGTTTTCGAATTCGCTGATTACAAATCTAAAATACGTTTTTAAAAATTAAAAATGGCGGATCTAATATGGCAGACGAATTTTGAAAAAAATTATTTTATTTTCCTGCAACTTGGTATTTGTGGGTTTTTTGGGTAGTTGACTTTTTATATTTTTCAGTGACACACGACTAAATTTTAGTGAAATTTTGGTCCTTTCAATAAAATATTTAATTAAAGTAGTTCAAAATATTATTGAAAAAAACTGTTAAAATAAATTATTATTATTTACTCACTTTTTACACAAGGCAACCTGGATGATGCAGTTTTTTCCTATTTTACAATTAGATGAAGTTTATAAAAACACCTATAGATAAAAGGAAGAAAATTATTGTTTAAATAATTTTTAAACAAACTACAAAAAATTTATTTGTATAAAAATATTTAAATAATTGAATTCTTATTTGTTATATCGGTATTCATGAAAAGCTAATAACTTGCAAAATTAAAACTATTTGAAAAAATAATAAGAATTACTTGTTTAAAAAGTTTAAAAGTTAATAAATGCCAATAATTATTTTTTTTTTAAATTTAATAATTTTTTTTAAATTCGTCCATTATGTGAATTTTTAAATACTGACTTTAGATTTGTTATTAGTAACCCCCCCCCTTACACATAGATACCAATTTGCAGAAAAATTCAATAATTTTTTCAAAATTCTTCCGTCATATTGGATATGCCATTTTGAATGTCTGAAAATGGACTTCAGATTCATAATCAGCGACCCCGAAACTTCCAGATACAAAATTGCAAGAAAATTCAATAATTTTTTTAATATTCTTCTGCCATATTGGATCCGACATTTTGAATTTTTGAAAACGAACTTTAGATTCGTAATCAGAAAACCCGAAAAACGTCCAGATACAAATTTGCAGGAAAATCTATTGTTGTGAAAAACGTATGCATTTGGTAACCACAGTTCGGGTAGAAACTCATGCTCAGGAGAAATTTTAAAGCCATTGAATAAAATGATTTGTATCCCTATTACCTCAATTTTGGGGTAAGAAAATTATTTTTTTTAGTTATGAAATTTTTTTGTTTTTTTAAACCCAAAGAAATTTTTTGTCAAATGGAATAATTTCCCATTAAATTATTATTATCAACTCCGACGGATGCACCTATCGTCTCCATTCCTTCAGTTACATAATTTTGTTCTTTTATTCAATTCTCGATTAATTTAATTTTTTGCAATCATAACTATGTGTCGAATAGTACACTTTTACTAATTTTATTATATAGGGCCAAGTGGGGTTATTGGAAGCTAAGAATATCAAAGATAAATTTACAGATTATTGAATAAGTGCGACGTCGATATTTTAAACTCAGGTTAACAATAAGAGGTTCGCCAAAATTTATTTTTGTTTTTGTTAAATCCTTAGGGGTCGTCCATATACCACGTGGACACTTTTGGGGGGAGGGGGGGTAAAAAAAAGGTTGAAAATGTCCACGATCCCATGTATTTTTGTGTCCACAAGGGGGGAGGGGGGGTCAAAAATCTTTGAAAAACTGTCCACGTGGTATATGGACGACCCCTTATAGTGTACGGAAAACATGCTGTAACACAGCTTCAATTTAAAAGAAAAAAAAGTTGCAATCCATTTGGTACATTTTTTATACCACTTTATTTAAATCTGTGCTAAGTACGGCAAGCAACCCCGGCCTGGGGTTACCTGGCGAATAAGTGAAATTAATTAAATTAAAAGATTTGAAGTTCAAACAATATATGATATTATAGTAAAATAAGTTTTGGGCCATCATTTTACAATAAAAATATTTTTAATGTTCCTTGAAAATAAATGTTTAACCCTTTCATAGCTTCGGGACACATTACAAAAAAGTGGTAATATTTATTTTAAACAATAGGATGAACATTGACTGTTTTAAAAAAACAGTTATGTAACAAAATATTTATTTCATTAACATTAAGTGAATAATTTTTAGCAACTCTTCGTTTTTCTATATGTTTTAAAGGTAGCTGATTACGAATTTGGAGTCAGATTTAAAAAATTCAAAAAATTCAAAATGTATTTAATATAGCGCAATTTTTAAACAAATTATCAAAATATTTTTAAATTTCATTAAAATTTCTTGAAAATTGTCACTTTGGAATTTTTTAGGTAGCAGATTACGAATTTTTTGTCAGTTTTTGAAAATTCAAAATGGCGGATTTAATATAAATTAATCTTTTTCAGTTAAATAAAAAACGACCACCATATTGGATTCGCCATTTTGAATTTTATAAATTTTGAAAATCTGACATCAAATTCGTAATCAGCGACCATGAAAGCTTCAAATAGCAGTTTTGAAGCAAATTGAAGCAATTTTTTAAAATCTAGTCAGCCATATTGGATCCGCCATTTTAAATTTAGAAAAATTTGGAAAATCTGATATCGAATTCGTAATCAGCGACCCCAAAAAACCCCCCGAGTAACAATATTGAAGCAAATTCAAGCAATTTATGAAAATATCGTCCGCCATATTGAATCCGCCATTTAAAATTTTTAAAACCTGATATTGGACTCGTAATCAGCGACCCCAAAAATCCCTGAGTACCAATTTTAAAGGAAATCGAAACAATTTTTAAAAATCTTTCCGCCATATTTGATCCGCCATTTTAAATTTTGAAAATTATAAAAATTTGACATCTGATTCTTTATCAGCGATCCCAAAAACCCTGGAGTACAAATTTTCAACATAATCCAACCGCAGGAGTTCCCGGGGGCACGAAAGGGTTAAAGATTTCAAAACTTGATATTTGAGTTTTTTTAAAATCATTTTCGGTATTAAAATCAATTATTTGAATCCATACTCCTCAATAATTAATGAATAAAAATGAAATACGACAAATATATTATGGTAAAATCATTTTTAAAAAAATTTCATTTTTTCGGAAAGTAAAGTTAATAAAAAAAAAAAAAATAAATAAAGTTCATTTGTTTTTTTTAAAGCTCGTTGCTTAGATATTTTCATTTTCAGAATCACTTATTATAAATTTGATAATAGTTTTTCAAAATTTAAAATGGCGAATCTAATTTGACACCAGAATTTTTAAAATTCATCAGATTCGCTTTAAACTTGTTACTCAAGGGCTTCAAAAGGTGCTGGTTAGGAATCTGATATTAATTTAGTGATTATCTACCCCGAGGATCCCTGAGTAACAAGATTCAAGCGACTTCGATCACTTATTTTTATAAATTGCTTTACCTAATTGGTAATTTCCGCCATTTTGAATTTCGAAAATCTAATGCTACATTCATAATCAGCTATATAGTCCAAAAACCTTTGTGTATCGAGTTTGAAACAAACATAATAAACTTTTAAAATTGTCCGCCATATTAGGTTCATCATTTATAATTTCAATCAGCGATCCAGAAAGCCCTCGAGTAACGGGTTTCAAGCTATAATAACGTGCACTATGTATCACTAATAATAATGCCAGTAACTCATGGATATTTCTTTCGATATATCGCTAAATTCTCGTTTGCACGCATAGGTCAAAATAAATCATGATTAATTTATCAATGGCTAAAATTTTGTATGATGCCCAAGGAACAATAATGTCAGCCCTTGCCCATACTGCACCGTAACTTATAGCAATATTGACAACAAATGTGAATATTGCTGCAAGTTTCAATGGTGTCTGGGGAATAATTAAAATCTCGAAAATGATTTTTAAAAAAACAAAGAAACAAAAATAAAAAACAAATTAAAAATTTAGAAAGGTTTTTAATGTTATTCTAAATATCTAAATTTTTTTTTAAATAAATTTTTTATGCTTTTGATAACAGGCATGCACTTCGACAGCATATGATGAGGCATAATGGAAAGCAGTATAAATGCGAATTTCCTGGCTGTATTACTTCTTTACGTACTGAAGCTGAATTAAAACATCATCAGATGAGAGTTCACGGAACTCCGGAGCAAATCTATCCATGCAGTTACTGTAGTTATACAGCTAAATTTCGCTGGCAACTAGCAAGGTATTTATTAATATTTATATTAATTATATTAATTATATTAATTAATATTTTTAATTTGTGAACCGAGTGTAGCATACAAAACCAAATTTTTGTTTCTGTTTTTATGTACGGTTTGTGATTCAAAAGCTACTAGAAATTTAACCTTTTTAAACTATTAAAATTATAGTAATGATAGTTTTTATTTTAGTTTAGTTTTTATTTGTATTAAAAAGGCTGACTTCTTGAGTTATAAATTTAAAAATAATTCACTTGATGCATAATAATATCATAAGTATAATCAAATTTTTATAGTTCCGTATTTCCTTAGAAACAAATAATCAATCTTATCAAATACACAATAAATGAACACTAATTAATAATATTCTAATTTTTTTTATTCACTTCTTGCTTTGACCGGTATTGGACAAAATGTTGTAGATACTTTTTCAATCACATTTTCTGATACCAGTTATAAAAATTGTTTTAGTTCATTAATAGCAGTCGTAAAAAATTGCGAAATTTCCTTTCGAGTCAAGCACACGTAAACTTATTGAGACTTTTCGTTAGAAAAGAGTGTTAAGATAGACGAACTCATTCACAATTTCTCAACTGAAGAATTTATCATGATAAAGCCGATATTCATTTATCGAGATCCCCAACCGAGACGAGGTATTCCTGCGCCGTTTATCGCAGCAATGTTCACATGATCAATGCTTTCGAGGAAGCTGATAATTAATTGCCAGGACACCAATACAACCTGTGCACATACACCCTTTCACATATGAATATGATATTGTGTTCGTTTGTCGTCAATTTTGATCCATAACTACACCATAACACACGTTGCACTGAAAAAAGTTTTCGTATATTTCATGCGCATTCATTTTTATTCATTTACACTTGTCTGTGTAATTTAATATTCTTAATACAATTTATTTTGAATGATAAAATAATTATTAACTCTGTATGTTATTGGCCTTGTGATGTATCTGACTAAGGATGCATAACGCTTAAACGAACTTGAAGCGCAATCTTTTTTTTACATGCAGAGAAATTTTGTTAAAAATTTTTGATTTCAGTATACTATCCAGGTTCAGGTTTTATAAAGCTTGTTTGAGGATTGGACAATATTTGCTGCAATTAAAGCACGCTGCTAATCTGTCGACTATTTTATACACTTTTTGGGCCCCAACTGAAGTACTGATGATACCTTGTGGCAATCCCTTCTCTTCCTGATTGTGAACAACACAATATCCATTTTTATGTGACTTCGACAATTTGCAAAGGATGAAGAATGTAGTTACATTCTTCATTCTTTGCAAATTGGGCCTTAAGACCTCCTTCTGATTTGCAGGTACCTTGAAAATTATTTCCAGAACTTCCTAAAAGTTCTTTTTGGTAAGTAACTCAATCCAAGTCACAGATTTCAAGTGTTACCTTTTGATTCACCGACTGCAGCTCACTCATGCTCCCGACCGCTTTAATGACCTCTGCTGTAAATGCCACCTTTGATTTTAATCAGGAGGTCTCCCTTCCTTGTAAGTCTTGCTCCTACAACTCTCGTGTGCCTGACGTCTGGATTAACTTTCTTGCGAGGATTGCTCACCACGTCAGCATACGCCTTCCCCTTGGCGACTCTGATTACCATTGTTGATCTTCTCGTCACCTTTCTTGAAGTTGCTTTTTTCCTTCATCATTTTTTCAGTTGTTTAATTTTTTCCGGACTGCAGGAGCTTTATATCTTCTTTTACGTCTTGACAGCACGTCTAAATTGACACTGATGAAATCATTTTTTTTTTCGATTTGAGTTAGTTTCTACAAAGCGGCAAACTAAGTGCAGATCGCTTTTATTAGTCTTACCATGGTATACTTTCACTTTCTTCACTAATTTCTGGAAGGATTTTATTCCATCCTTTACATCCTGCTAAGGGACTTTAGTATGTTGCAGGACATAACTTTGCGACTGCTTCTTCGATCATTTAAAATATTTTGCCTTTTTGCCTTTTCTTAATCTAACATTTCTGCATCGTCAAAATTAAAAGAATGATTATAATCAATTTGATCGAGGTTTCTGTCTTTATATTCACTAATTCTTTTTTTCAAAGTACGTTTTGATTCACCAATATACATAGCTGGGCAACTATTACAATTAAATTTATAAACAATATTATTCCTATCCCAGTTTCTCGTCAAGTCCTTTCCCAATTTTATTACAGAGCTTGAGCTTTTTTCTACAATAGGAATAGACAGTAAATTATATTTTTTTAAATATTAGATAATTGATAATATAAATATCATTAAAAGGATTACAGACTTTAGGCATAGTTGTTGATAAATACTTAACGACATTGTTAGTTTGCTTTTTATCTATTGTTTTATGACTTAATGAATGTTTTCTTTCTTTATTATTTTTTCCTATAAATTCTAAAAGGTAATCGTTGTTTTCCACAATTTCAAAGTTTAATGTTTTTATTATGAAAGGACTGGTGAGACAATAAAATAGCTCTATCATATAAATTGTAAACAATTTTCTTCTTTTGTTGAATTGGATGACGTGAAAAACAATTTATTAATCTATTAGAAGAAATGAATTTTGATTTATAATTTTGTAAAATTTGAATTTTAAAAGAATTTAATTAGAAATGTAAAAATCTTACATTTAAAAAAAGTTTTTAAAAAAATAATGGATTTAGAAAAGAATTTTAGTTAGAAAACAATAAAACAAATTGAGTTTTGAAGCAATTAGAAATGATTGCATCAATTCAATTATTTTTAAAAGTAGTAAAATTCTTCTCAGAAATTCAATTATTTTCAAAAATTTTAATGAAATTCTTTGCGTAGCAATTCAATTTTTTTCAAAATAATTTTAAAAAAATTCTTCACAGAAATCCAATTATGGTTATAAAAATTACCAAAAATTCTCGTCAAAATTTCAATTATCTTTATGAATAATAAAATTTTTCTTAAAAATTCAATTATTTTCAAAACTTTTGATAAAATTCTTGGCAGAATTTCAATTTTTTTTAATACAATTTTCATCAAATTTCTTGAAAAATGTAATTATTCTTTAAAATTTTATTAAAATTTGTCAAGAAAATCCAATTATTTAAAAATTTGTTGAGAAAATTTTTTATGAAAATTCAATTTTAATAAACATTTACTTGTTTAATAATATATTTAATTTTATAGTTAAATAATTTAATTTTCGTCGAATTTTCTAAAAAATATTGATTTAAAAATGAATTTCCAATTAAAATCTTTAAAAATGCAGCTATTAAAGTTTCTTTTATTCTGTAAAACATACAAGTTATGGGCAATAAAAGCCTGTGTATTTTTGAATAAATAAATTAATAAATAAAAATTTTGAACTTTTCATACTTTTAAATAAGAATTCCATCGAATTAATTTTTCTTAATAAGTTTAATGGAATTTTTTTTAATTATTTGAAGTTTTTAATTTCTAATATATTTAATTGAAGAATTTTAGAATAATCGAAATTTCGTAAAATTAAATTGTAAACAAACGAATTTGAAAATTCATAAAGAACTTTTTCAAAAATTATTATAAAAAATTGACTTAAAGAAGAATTTTAATTGAAAATTCTATAAATGAATCCTAATCGTATAATGATGAAAATAATTTTTAAAGAAGTTACGGTAACAAAGTATCAAGTTTTAATTACTATAAAACATGAAGAAAGTGATGATATCTTCATTTTTTATAATGTAAATTTGGCCCAGAGAAATAACATCACAAACTTCTTTAGGAATGACAGTATATTAGTTAAATTAATTAACCAATTTTATTTTTTAGAATTAATATTACGAACAGAGTGTTTCTTATTAAGTGGTGAATTTTTTCTAATTAGTTTTTGGTTACAAAGTGAATGAATAGATGAAAATTTCTTCTCAGAAAACAGGAAAAAATTATTTAACATTGCTGAGTCAATAGAAGATTGTGAGATTTTGTTTTGAAAAAATCATAATTTTTTATTCAACACAGAAAAAACGATAATCTAATTTTAGGAAGCTCCTACTTAAAGAGGAGCCAAGAATATTCTCTACTTAAATTAAGTGGTCCCACTTAATTTAAGTAGAGAATATTCTTACAATAAGATTGATATTCTTATTGTAAGAATATTTCCCACTTAATTTAAGTAGGGAATATTCTTGGTTCCTATTTAAGTAGGAGCTTTTAAAATTAGATTATCGTTTTTTCTGTGAACAAATTAAGATTCTAACATACACGGAGAAAATTTGTTCCTTACATTTTACCGAATTTTTCAATAAACTTGGGATATAGTAGCATAATCGTAATTTTTAATAATTTTTATATTATTTTTTCGGTAACAATATTTAAAATCTAATGTGATATCTTTATTCCTTAAGAACTAGTACTGTAAAAGTTGAAAAAAAATTGAAACTGAACGTTTAATGTAAATTAAATAAATACCTCCTTGATGGGCACTAACGTTTCAGGAATAGTTCGGTAAAACTTTCTTGACTTGCCTAAAGTGTTAGTTTTCAGGAATAGTTCGGTAAAACTTCCTTGACTTGCCTAAAGTTTTAGTTTTCTGGATTGAAATACTTTATTTCAAGTGTCCCGCAGTCAAATGAAAGACTTTCACACTAATAGTTGATTTTTCCAACTTATTTAGACTTAATTAATAATCATTTTATTATTATTTAAATTAAAATTCAATTAATTAATTATTTTAAACACTTATTAATTGCCAAATATGTAATAAATGCTTTTAAATCATGTAAAAAGAAAATATAAAATGGTAATAACATACTTATTTTTTTAACATATAATTTATTCATTTTAATTAAATATGAATAATAGTAAGTAAGTAAGCAAATAAACATAAGTAAGTAAGCAAAAAGGAAATAAATAAGTAAGCAATTAAACATATAAGTAAGTATGTAAGTAAGTAAATAAGTAGGTAAGCAAGTAAGCAAAAAGGAAATAACTTGCTTGCTTACTAGCTTACTTTCTTATTTGCATACTTACTTGCTTAT